ACTAGGTTGTGACTTTTGAAATTAACAAACTCAGTTCTAACTATATACAAACATCGAAAACCTTCACGTAGTTTACCTTAAAACAGCTAAGCAACTATTAGCTGGGCAGTGCTGGAGATATTAGGACGTCACAATTCCCGAGGAAGTTGATTCAGGAACAGAGAACTGATCACCTTATAAGCTATAGCAGCAAATCAAGAGACAGAGAATTTAAGATATTGGCGCCATGATGCTCTCAAGATGCGGCTAAGTATTTCTCATGCTTAATGAATATTCATGTTCATGTATTATTTATACAAGAAAATTGCAATGAAAGTTAATCCAAAAGATACATCCATAGCAACTAAATCTCACCAATAATTATTCAAGCCCAGAAATCAGTCTAACAATGTTTGGGCACTACAAACAAAAGGAAGCATCAAACATTGTGAAAACTTAAATTTAACCTCAATATCCCCAAGAAATGGCATTAATCATCCGGCGGATTGTTTCGAGATGTCTGCATTAATAAACAATAAATTTCATTGGGATCAATACTCTTTCTTTTCGTTTTAACATAATGCCTAAACAGACTTTATCAATGGGTTGAACCATTTCCAGTCTTATGAATGATGTTGATTAGGAAGAAACCTCTATAATGACTTGGTACTCCACCAAACAACACCGATTTGCATGATTTATACTGTCAGATTTACTAAAATAAAAATCAAACTATTCAATTTCTAAACATATGAAATGACCTTGACATGTTCTAAGCAAGTCTAACGAAAGAAATCCATAAACTAAACCATCCTATATATATATAACCAGATAAAAGAAAAGTAAAGCAAAGCAAACCTCAGGTTTATTTCGAGGAAGGATCATATGTTTGCTGAAGAAGATCATCGTAGGGGTCCCTGCGGCCAGGCACCTGGCTAATCTGAGGATCCCAGCGCAACTGTGCATTATGGCGCTCAAAGGTCCAGAAACCATAAGGACGTAGAGGATAGCTCCACATCTCCTTGGTTTTCTTACATCTTTCCGCTACTCCATAAACGTGCTCTCTAAATTTACGATCCCTCTCCTTTGGATCCTCCATCAACCTCAAGATCAAATTCTCCGCAAACTCCATTATGAATCCCATTTTGTTTTATATGCCTAAACAATCCAACAATCCATTCCCTAATTAACAAATAAACTTCATACGTTCGACATTACAGACAAATTTCAATCATAATTAACAAATCCACTATCTCTCTCAACAGAATCTTAGCATAGAAAAGCTTATTTCTCTCTTAACAAGTTCAAACTAAAAAAAAACTCTCAGTTCCATAAAACATCGGATTCTTTGAACACAAAACTCTCCTACATACTGATAAAATAGCCAGAAGAATATAAACCCTAAAATTTACGAACAGTACAAAAAGAAACACATTATAAGCACAAAATTGAGCAGAAATCGGGTTAATAAACAAGAAGAAACTGAGAAACATGGAAATCATCCGCATGCCGTACCTGGCCTAAAATCGGAAGACGCGAAATCCGAGCAGTTTTACGGGAGAAGTGCAGAGCGACCTGCAAGAAATATAAGGGTGAAGTTGGGGGCCTAACACTAGAAGAAGCCCAGAAGAGTTTAAAAAGAGCCTGCACCTCTGGGCTAGACGAGTCCAATTAATACAAATACATTAATATAATAATATATATTTTCTTTTTTACTAAATAATTAATGATCTATTTAGTAAATATTTGAAGTGATAAAAATAATTATAACTGGAAATTAATATAAAATGTAGCATCATACTACCCGGTTTTGTTATTAATTATAATAATTATTTAAATAATCAAAGTAGTGGGAGACTTTTTTTAATTTTTTTAATTTTTATATGTTTAATAAAATGAATGAAAAGTGGTACAATTTGAGAGAGCATGGGTGGATAGAAAAGGACCCGCACGGGAAATCTGAGAGCACATTCTGCTCCAATGCATTTAAATGGGCTGGGCTCCAAATTTTCAAAATTTCAACCCCTACCTCTATAATATATATATATATGTATTTTAAAGAAAATTTCAAAAGTAACTCATAATAATGACCTGACCCAAAAAGAAAAAAAAAAATAAAAATAAAAATAATAATAATAATTAAGGCAATAAAAAGAGAGTGAATGAGTGTGGCCATCCCCAAGTATGAAATTCTTTTCTTTTCTTTTCTTTTCTTTCTTTCATCAAAAGCTTCATTTTATTAACCCCCCACACAACAATCATCATTATTATTATTTGTGCGGGGAGGTTCTCTTTTGACCACACCACCAAAATTTGAAGTTGTAGAGAAAGAAAAGAAATAAGTGTGCGGAGTCGCGATTCAACTGCCTGCCCTACTAATTGCCGGGGGTTGTCCCATTTCTAGTTTTCCCTAATTTCACGTACTAATTCTTACTTACTTACAAGATTATAATTCATCACGTACTAATTTTAATTTTAATTTACCCCAATTCAAATTGACAAAAGTTGCTCTTATAATACAAAATTAAATAAAAAGGGAGATTTAAAAAAAAAAAAAAAAAATTCAACAGCAACGACCACATAATAAGAAGAAGAAGAAGAATCTTATCTTAAATAAATTCCCCCAAAACTGGCCTATTTTTCTTTTCTCAAATTTTTCTCTCCTCCAGGCCTTAAAACCATTATGTGCCGTTACCGTTGCCGTTGCCGTCAAAATCACTCTTTAACTCTCGCCCATCCCCATAAACAACTCCTCACCGTTAACATCACCGTTCACGGCATGGTTGCCGTTACCCTCACCACCTTCCCCTTCTTCGTTCCCCCATCGCTCTACAGGTGCGCACTCCGCTTTATGCCGGACTTTCCAATCAAGCGCCTGACAAGCGCGTGAACAATAGTTCACCGCTCCGCACACCGAACACCGCCGGAACTCGTGTTTCCTCGTCTCCGGCCTCCCACACCCCACGTGCGAGCACAATCTCAGCCCCGGTCCAGGAATCCCGCCGCGTGAGCCGAACCACTCCGCCAGGAACCGGCTCGCCGGGTGTGCCTCTTGAGCCGGTACATTGCAACCGAAGTCGCTAAGCAGCGGACATCCAAGCCCCGCCGCGACACGCTGGCTCGGCTGCGGGCTCCATGTTAGCCAGGAGCGCGCCGAGATCCCCGACGCGGCAGCCGAAGAGAGAACAGCGGCTAGCTCGCGAGCGTTGGCTTGTACGAGAAACCGTCGTCCTTCTGAGATGTTTTGTGGAACTCCGTAGCCGTCTTGAAGACAGTGGCCGAGCTCCCGGAGCGCGTCGATGTGGCCAAGGAAAGCGGCTCGCGCGCAGAGAGCGACGCCGGCTCGTAAGTCCTTATCGTTCTTGGAGCCGCCGCTGCCGTTGAACTGTATCACAGCGAGTGAATACAGAGCCGGGGCATGGGAACTAATCGCGGCTTTTGCCATGAGAGAAGCTCCACTGCCGCGGTTTTGCAGACAGTAGAACCGAATCTGCATAAGATGATAACAAAAAAACCAAAATAACCATCAGGCACTTGTATCTGAAATTGTTAAACAGTCAACAATGGCTTGAGCATAACTAACCATGCCGAGAGTGTAACAAGCTTCGACATTCCCGGCATCGGCGCAGAGTTTCAAGAAGCGGTGAGCGGATTCTGACCAATTCTTGGCTTTCATGGCAAAAGCTCTCGGCGATGCTCTGGATAATACCAGAGAACTGAGAGCCAGACCGTTTAATCTCTTGCATCTGTTTTTAAAAATAATAATTAAAAAAAAAAAAAGAAAACGGAATGAGATTCAAGGAGCTATTTTACTAAGAAAAAACATGAAAATGAAATCTTGGGCTTGGAAAATTCTATCACAAATGAGATTTACGCACAATGTTCTCTGAAATTCACCAAGACCCTTTGTTTTACAAGATAATAAAGAAAAAGAATTGAAAAGAAATAAAACATACGTGATCAGAATGTTGACGAAATCAGACGGGCAAAGGGCGGTTGAGCTGAGGTTACTGAGAATAGAAATGACTAGATCATCAGGGAGAGAATCGAACAAATCGCGGTCTCCGACAAACTCCGGCGAGAATCTTTGTCGTTTGCGGAAAGAGAAGTGGTCTCCTCCTCCGGTGACATCTCTCTTCTTCTTAACAGAAGTATTCCCCAGAAAAGTACCCTCCCTAGGGTAACAAAACCCCCTCCTGGTTCTCATTCGAGTCTCCGGTCTGCCTTCCGTGCTTCACTCTAATACGAAGATGATAGATATGGAGGTAAGAATCAAAAAAGCAAAAGAGGTTATAAGAAGGAAGGAAGCAGAGGATAGCAAACAGAAAACACCCAAATCATTCATCTTCTCTCATCTTCTCTCACTCTCTCTCTCTCTCTCTCTTTTCCCCTGAACCAGAGTGCTCGTATGTATTGTATTATATTATCTCTGTAACTGTTGTGTGTTGAATTACACATTTACCCTCATTCGGTCAAAGGCCGTTGACCCAGATCCCTCCGTCCGCCGTCGCTTTCTCTTTCTATCTACAAAACGTACTGCGATATCCTTCTCCCTTGTCTCCACGCTTTTAAGCGGTCTCGTTATCAAGATAGAGAGGCAGGGGGGAGAGAGAGAGAAGAGAAAGAAAGGGCATCTCTTTAATTTGTGTTTGTTGGTGAGAGGTAAATTAAAATCTTGGATTTGTTTTAGAAGCGGTTAAATTTGTTGCGAGTAAAAACAACTGAACAAAGACCGTTGTTTTTTTCTTTTTTAACTTTTTTACCGCGAGAGTAAGAGAGGTTGACCGACGCGCGTCAGAGGGGGTAAAGTAGAGAGGGAACTGAGGACACGCGTGGGAATGCGAGTGTGGAAACAGTAGAGTCGATAACAAACTGGGGAAGCGAAATCTGGGCAGTTGTTAACCATACAGAGGTCAAAGGTTGTGAATCAGCACTAAACAAAAGGTTCAGTTACTCTTGCTTTTGTTTTTTACTTGCCTATTTATAATTAATTAATTATTTCCCTTCATTTTTCCTCATCGTTACCTCTCTTGCCTTCTTATGGAAACGTTTCCCACCAACTGCTGACGTGTCCTTTTAATTTCTCTACCGCCATCACTCGATAAATATTAAATAAATTTCCGAGAATATTAATATTTTTTAATAATTTTACTATCACCGTAAATTTTTTTTAATATTAAAATATTAGACTTTACGTTCCCGTGCCCATAAATTTCATATTTTTTTTTATTTTTATGTAATGGTGAAAATTGAAAAGGAAAAAACTAAACGACGCCGTTTTGTAAATGAACACCCCCAAAAGATATTGTATATTTTTTTGTCGTCGTGAGAAAAGCAATAGTATTTTTACTTAAAAATAAAACAAATGTGCTAAAAAGGAACCAATTCCTTATCGTGGCCGGCCACATAAGAATATATATGTACAAAAAGTTAATATGATTTGACATCAATATATATATATATATATAAATATAAATATTGAAGCATTAGTTGTTGCCTTGCTCAATTAACATTTATTAGGTTGACAAATTAAGTTTTTTGCGATAAACGTGATTGTGTGTGCGCATATATATATATATATATATATATTTAAAAATTATATTTATAATTTTTAACATGCTGTAATTAATAAAATTTATTCAATTTTTTTTTTTTTACAAAAAAAGTAACAAATTTATTAAAATTTAATTACCATAAACCCATCATCATATTAATAAATTAAATTTTAATTTTATTAAATTAATTATAATTAGCACGTAATATATTTATAAAATAACAAACGCTTTATTTCTATGTTATTGTTATAATATATATATATATATATATATATATAAGTATTGAGTTTAAGAGGGAGTTATGAGGTCAGAAGTGTGTGTGTATATATATATATATAGTGGGGAATATTTTGATATAATAGTTTGCGGACAAAATAATCTCTTGATCCCATTGCATTTTAGTTTCATGTCTCTTTGATGTAATGGTTTTTATTTATTTATTTATTTTTAATTATTCCTCCACTTTCCTAATCTATCTCAACAATTAATGGCTTAACTGTAGTTAACAACCAAAAATTACCTTCCATCTCAACACTCTACAATATAAATATATATATATATATATGTATACATATAAAATACAATTGCAAATATACATTTTAATTAAGTATAACTAAATCGATTTTAATTTCGTAATTATCTGAATTCTAATTTAAAATCTCGAGATTCCAATCTTTATTTTAACTTATGACAAAATTAACATATATTACCATATACTACAAAAATATTAATGCAATTGCAACATATCATTTCTGATTTCTGTAAAAAAAAATAATAATA